CGAGGGCTAGTAGATATCCCAGCTGGCCTGCTCTGTTGAAAGAACCCACCCTTTCACCATGGTCTGAAAGTCTGCCCTCCACTGAGGCCATGCCTAGGCTGCTCCTTGTGCTGTCCAAGTGGGCTCGCTCTTCACTTCTCACGTGATGATTGACTAAGTTCCTCTTGCCTCAGCTCATCCCAAATCAGAGATGATAAGCAGGCAGAGCTGTCTCTGATCTATGGTTCCCAGGCTCTGTTACTCAACGAATCTCCAACAGAAAGGCAGAAACTCTCGCCTGGGACCCGTCTGATACTGCTCAATAATTTATTTATACTATAAAAGGAAGGAAATAGGATCGCTTGGGAAAATCGTAGGGGCGAGATGTCTCTATTACTATTAATGATCTGGTTGGAAGTTTGGGGCTCCCATTTAGAAGCCAAGTGACTTGGGCAAGCACTCACTTCTCCCAGCCTCAGTCCTGTCTTCTGTACAATGGGTATAAAAACACTTTCCTTTGGGATTGTTGTGAGGATTAGAGTAACGTGGTGATGTGTAGTCTGGGTGGATTAGTCATGTGTGAAGAGCACTCAGCCCAGCCTGGCACATAGCAGGCCCTCAACACATGGCGGTTAATTCATTCACAACTGTTTTGGAGTTCCCACTGTATGTCAGGCCCTTTATTTTCTCTCCTTTCCTCTTCTGCTCTCCTACTGCCCAGGTATGATCAGAATAGAGCCTTCATGCTACGCTACATAAAGCACCTACTGTGTGGTTAAGGCATTTGGCTGCTAACCAAAAGAACAGTGGTTTGAACCCACAAGCTGCTCCATGGAAGAAAGATGAAGCAGTCTGCTTCCATAAAGATTTATTTTCTTGGAAATCCCACGGGGGTCGCTATAAATCAGAATCGACTCAAGGGCAGTGAGTTTGGAGTTTGGTTTTTGGTGCCAGGCACCAAGCGAGGTGTTCTATACATTGTATCTTACTTAATCCCCACATCAACCCTCTGAGGTGCTATTAGCCCCATTTTATAGCTGAGAAAACGGAAGTGCTGCAAAGGTAAGTAATGTTTGCAAAGTGGTAGTGAGTGGTGGGCTGGGATTTGAGCACTCATTACTAATCGCTGGATCCTACCCTGTGCTGCTTTCCCGAGTTGGTGGAGTAGGCAATTTCGGGCTGCAAACTCAAGCATCTCTCGGGTGCTTGGCAAGGACAGACACAGGGGAAACCACTGGGTGGGGACAGCTGTGAACTGGGTAGTGAGTGTCCCATCTCTGACTGTTGCCACATTGCAATGCAGGCTCAGAATTTCCAGGGCTCTTGATTTTTCAAGACAAGTTGAAAACTAACATTTTGAAATAGAAAAATGTCACAATTTTTAAATGTTGGCAACAATTAAAAAAAAAAAAAAAATCCTTGTACAGGTCAAGATGACCTTAGCCCGTTTGCTAGGTTTGCGTTTGGCCAGCTTGCACCTCTGGACGTTTGTGGAAGTGCAGGGAAAGAGCTCAGCCCAGCCTGGTCCAACACTGCTCTTCATCCCTTCCCTCTGTCCTGCAGGAAGAAGGCCCTTCTAGGACAGCTCTTCCTCTGGCCTCCCCCCCACCAAAGCCCCTCCTCCAACTCACCCTCCTGGGAAACGCACTGGAACTAAGGGTGGGCCGGAGGGGTACAACAGACCGGGAAGCGTTGGGGGTGGAGCTCCTTTGGGGCCCAGTTCTGGGGGATTGGGCTGTGGGAGACTTTGCTTAAAGATATGGACTCAGTGGCTGAAGCGACTCCCAAAGTCAAGGTAACCACAGCAACCTGAGCACTGCCTTTAGCAAGACGGATCAAAAGTAAAGCTTGGAATAAAGGCCCTCATAGGAGCTCTGGTGGAGTAGTGCCTAAGGCATCTGACTGCTAACCAGAAGGCTGGCAGTTCAAATCCACCAGCCACTCCTCAGTGGTATCACTGATATCAATACTTCTGTAGTGATACCACTTCAGAAACCCAAGGAGGGGTCGATATGAGTCGCATCCGACTCGATGGCAGTGGGTGGAGGTAGTCATGAGTGACCTCCTCCCTGCAGCCTTCTTCCCATCTCTCCGCCTTCCTCCCTCCCCTCCTCCCAAGGCCTTCCCCTTTCAGAGCCTCCCCTTCCATCTCTCTTTGCCTCCCTCTTCTCCCCGCCTCCTTATCTCCCCCTCTGTGCATCCCTCTCTTGCTTCCTGCTTCCCTCCTCCTGCCTCCCTCTTGTTATCTCTTCCTCTCTGTCTAGTATCTCTCTCTCTGCCTCTCCCACTTCTTCCTTCTCTCCCCACTGTACCCTCTCTCTTTGTCTCAGTCTCCTCTTCCCTCCTCTCTCTCCACCTCCCCCACCTCCGCTCTTCTCTCACCTCCTCTTCTTTCCCACACCTCTCCTTCCTTATCCCCACGGTTTCACTCACACTTGTTGGATTTCCTTTCGCAGCTGTTGGTTTAGTCAACCATGAGGTTTCTCTAGGGGGATGATGGTGTGATCCAGAAAAATTCTAAGTGGGCTTCAAAGAAGTTGAAGAGCTTGGGCCACATTCAAACATTCACCTGTTTATTCCCTCACAAACTGGTATGAGCCCCTGCTCAGGCTTCCCCTTGTATTTGGTGCTGGGGCACCATTCATTCATTCCTGCCTCTTTAATCTTCTCCTCACATTTAGAATAAACTTCTTACCTTGGACAACATGGGTCAGCATTACCTGGCCTCTGCCCATCTCTCTGTAATTTTCACCTTAGTCTCTCTTACTTCATCTCCCTCCAAACACTCTGGCCTCCTTGCCATTTCCCATTCATACCACACAGTCTCACCTCAGGGACTTTGCACTTACTGGCTCTGTGGTGGAGGACTCAAGAAAGTAAGAAGTGATTATGGGATGTAGCCAGCACATGTGGCTGTTGGAGCTCTGAGGAGGCGTCCAGCCCAGGCACACTTCCCAGAGGAGGGATCAGAGGGTGATCCAGGCCTGGGGAGGTGGAGTGGATGGGGGTGGTGAGGGAGGCATTGCAGGCAGAGGGAGCCCCAAGTGCACAAGTGTGTGTGTGTGGGGGGGGTGCATGAAGCATTCATTTTGGAATTGCCCAGGTCAGGCAGAACTCACACTCAGCCCATCTGTGTTCAAATCCCAGCTCAGCTGCCTACTTGCTGTTATTCCTTGGACAGATTGTGTCATCTCTCTGTGCCTCTATTCTTCCTCCATAGAATGGGGAGGATATAGTCCCAGCTTTATGATATTGTTATGAGGACCTCCTACATTAAGATGTGTACAGGAGTCTGGCACACAGTGAGCACTTAGCCAGTCAGCTCTCCATCTGGGGAAAGCCCTTGCATGGCAGGCCAAGGGGACTAGCATCATCTCAAAGGACAGCCTCTGAAGAGGGTCAGCAGAAACAGGAGTGCAGTCAAATTCACATTTCAGGAGAGTCTGTCCTCTGGCTGCCGTGGAAGGTACTTGGAGGGCAAGGTTGGAGGCTACTTTAGAGCAAGAGGAGGCTGGTATGGACCCCTGGAGGGAGAAGATGGAGGCTGGGGTGGGAGGTGGATCAGAGGGACCTGGGCAGTACCCAGCGATTAAGAATGTGGGCTCTGGGGCTAGACTGCCTGTTACAAATCCCAGCTCTGACACTCACTAGCTCTGGAACCTTGACAGGTGACTTAACTTGGACATGTCTCAGTTTCCTCATCTGTCAAGTGGGTAGGATAATAGTACTCACCCTTAAAGTTGCTGTGTATGAATGAGTTAATCCCTGAGAATTGCTGAGAGCATTGTAAGTCCTTAATAACTATCAGAGCAGCTAGAATTATTTTTATTAAATACAAAGTTGACTGAGTGAGTGACAGTCCGGGGGACAGGCAATGACAGGAGATGGAAGCTTCAGAAAACTGGAAGAACAGACAAGTGTCTTCTGGCTCAGTGGGTGGTCAGGGGATTTGAAGTCTGACAGACAGAAGCCAAGTCCTAGCTTGCCACCCTCCTAGCTCTATAAGCAATCATGTCGGCCTCTCTCTGAGCCTCAACTTCCCCATCTGTCCTACGAAAATAATAAAACTCCCTTTGAAGGGTGATTGGGCAGATTGACTATGGAAGTATACCCCTAGCACATAGCAGGTCTCCGAACATGTTAGTTTCCTTCCTCAGAGATGTATCTACCAGAAGTAGCACCTATGGCAATATTGAAATTGCACTCCTGTCCAAACATCTGACACCATCTTTTAGTTCACTTTACCATAGTATCAGCTCAAAAATTAAGTTCGTTAATCCTCTGCTTAAAACATTATGGCACCATATGAAAATTAGAAGGATGCCTTCCTCACTCTCACTGATGAAAATTGGTCTATGATGGCTAGAAGCTTTTTTTTTTTTTTTCAATTCCTTCTTTTTCTACAAGGAACTTTCGTGGTGCAATGGTTAAAACATTTGACTGCTAAGCCAGAAGGTTAGCAGTTCAAACCCCCCAGCTGCTCTGTAGGAGAAAGATGAGACAGTTTGCTTCCGTAAAGATTTACAGACTTGGAAACTCTATGGGACAGTTCTACTCTGTCCTATAGGGTCACCATGAGTTGGAATCTATTTGATGGCAATGGGGTTTGGGTTCTTTTTATAAACTCAGCAGAGCAAATGACACAGTCTGCCTTAATCTATGGAGGCTCTCAAATATGAAAGCATTAGTTTTAACTTGCTGAATGATCTCATACAGCTGGTGATGGTTAATAGAAACTGCTTAGTGGTGCCCCCTTCAAGTGGTGCCCAGGGCATGTGCCATACCTGCCATATATTAGCTACACCTCTGCCCTTCCTTAACCCTTGGAGTTGGCCACCCACTTCACCTCTCTGGGCCTCTGTTTTCTCGTTTGTAGAATGGGACCAAGAATATTCTTGTGCTGCTGCTGGTGTGAGTTACTGAGATGACTTGCACAGGCTTAAGACAGATCCCCAGAGTAGGTGTTCGTGGATCTCACCATCTTCTCTTTCTTCCTCTTCAGCAGGAACGCTTATGACAATATGGCCTGGCAGGAGCTGTTGCTGGCTGCTTGCCTCCTTGTGCTCCCCTCCGTCTCCGCAGATTGCCTGTCCCCGTGTTCCTTGTGTGCAGTGAAGACCCAGGATGCGCCCAAGCCTATCAAGCCCCTGGTAGGTCCTGGGACATCTGGGTGTGGAGGTCTGGGATGCTGCTACTTGTCTTGCAGACTCATCCTATCTGTGCAGGGCTCATCTTGCTCTGCAGACAGCCTGGTCATCAAGGGCTGCTATTTCTGGTTCCCACCCCACTTCAGGCCTCCCTATCACAGATCCACTCAGGTGCAGCAAGAGGACCCAGGAACCCTGATGCCCGGCAACAGGGAGTGTCACTCATAAAGTGGTGCTGTGTGGGAATTGACAGCCCAGGATGAATTTTTCAGGGCTTCTCTCCACTGGGCACCTCCAAATCCACTCGCCTTCATAGAAGGAACTCTGGCCATGCCCTAAATGCCAGTGTCTGGGGGACAGGATCAAAGCCCGGACCCATCTCCTGAGTCTCAACATCTCTTGGCCTGGCCTTGGCTTTGCTTTGAGACATAGTCCCCCATGTGCCTCCCTCACAACAACAGGAAGGCTGGAGTCTAGGCACAAACGGTGTGGTAGACAGAGCACAGGCTTTGATTTTTCCACTTTCTAGTTCCATGTCCTTGGCACCCACTCTCTGAGACTTAGTTTCCTCATCTGCAATATGAGGATGATTCCATGCAATATGACATAAAGTATTTAATGTGTGATATTAGCCACTGCTCACTAAGATGCATACGACACACCACTTGTTGCCAATATACAGCCTCAGGAGATCACAGTGGTTAAGCGTGAGACCTTGAGACATTAGACAACCTTGGTGCAAGTTTCAGTATTGTCTCTTATAAGCTTTGTTGACTCTTGACCTTGGGTAAGTTATTTAACCTCTGTGCTTTTATTCTAGGAGCCCTGGTAGCATGGTGTTTTAAACACTTGGCTGTTAACCAAAAGGTTAGCAGTTTGAACCCACCAGCCACTCTGTGGTATAAAAATATGGCAGTCTACTTACATAAAGATTTATAGCCCAGGAAACCCTATGGGGCAGTTCCACTCTGCCCTATTGGGTCACTATGCATCAGAATTGACTTGATGGCAATAGGGTTTGGTGCCTTCATTTTCTCTTCTGTAAAGTGGGGCTAATGATAGCAACAGCCTCATGAGGTTATTGAGAGGATAAAATGCATCAATGCATGTGAGGCACTGGAGCAGAGCCTGGCACACTGTAAGGCACTGTATCATCATTGTCATTTGTGATAATTGAATTCTCCCAGCACCTCTGTGAAGTGGACACTGTTATTCCCCCTCATGTGTGTTATTTCTACCATTCTGTGTTGCTTCTGCCCCTCTCTATAAAATGTGGTAACATCCCTAACACCTGGGAAAGTTTGGGAGAGCCAACCACTCCTGAAAATCGGAAGCGAGGAGAGGATGAGTGAGCACAGCAAAGCACTCTGGGAATATCTCACTTCCAATCCTGGTATTACTGCTTGTATGTGCCCTTGGGAAAGTTCTCCAAGCCTATTTCCTCTTCTTCCACAGGGGCACAGAATCACCGACCTTTAGGTATCATTGTTGTTGTTGTTGTTATGTTGTTATGTGCCGTCGAGTCGACCCCGACTCATAGCGACCCCTCCTTGGGTTTCCGAGGCAGTATCACTACGGAAGTAGGATTGCCCAACCTTCCTTCCGAGGAGTGGCTGGTGGGTTTGAACCGCCAGCCTTCTGGTTAGCAGTCAAGTGCTTTAGCCACTATGCTACCAGAGCTCAAAATGGGTAGCCCCCTGCTTAGAAATGGTAGCTAATTTTGATTTTCTCAAACGCTGGACAATGACTCTGCAGGGAGGGAAGAGTGCATATGTTTTGAAGTTTGATAGGGGTGAAGTGACATGACCACCATGGTCTTGTGGTGTCTTTTGCAGGTTTGCTCCCTGGAATGCCAGACCTCCCTGCTGCCCTCTGGGGAGTGGGAGAGATGCCAGGGCTTCCTGTCTGTTTTCACCTCCTTCGCCCTTGGGCTCAATGGCAAGGAAGACTCAAAGAGCAAGGCCATTTTGGAAGATCCCTATGGTGAGCTGGTCAAGCACACTGGGCCCTTCCTGAAGAAGCTGGAGAAAAACAAATTCCTCCCCAGCACCCCCACGAGGGAGAATTCTCTGAGCCAGACCCTGGAGGAGAAGCTCAGGGGTCTCTCAGGCAGGTTTGGGGAGGGAGCAGAGTCGGAGCTAATGGGCGATGCACAACTGGAAGATGGTGTGATGGAGGCAGAGGCACTTGGGTCTGATGAAGAGGATTCCAAGAAGCAGGTCAAACGCTACGGGGGATTCTTGCGTAAATATCCCAAGAGGAGCTCAGAGGTGGCTGGGAATGGGGATGGGGATGGGGATACGGCAGCCCATGAAGACCTGTACAAACGCTATGGGGGCTTCCTGCGGCGCATCCGTCCCAAGCTCAAATGGGACAACCAGAAGCGCTATGGTGGCTTTCTCCGGCGCCAGTTCAAGGTGGTGACTCGGTCTCAGGAAGACCCCAATGCCTACTCCGGAGAGCTTTTTGATGTGTAAACACCTTCCCCTTCATGCAGTTGAAGTGGGAGCTACCCCTGACGCCTTTCCAGATTGGAGTGCATTCATTCATATTCCTGTATGAGCCCCACCCCATGCTCAGTCCAGCACTTTCTACAAAACATCCAAACCCAGCCTAGTCTCTTCTGAGGCCAGTGATGAGGAAGGGAGGAGATTCCCCCACCACCTGTAGGCTTTGTGCTTGTCCAAGACCCCTTGTTGTTGTTGTTGTTATGTGCCATCGAGTTGGACCTGACTCATAGCAACCGCTCCTTGGGCTTCCGAGACAGTATCAGCACAGAAGTAGATTGCCCAACCTTCCTTCTGAGAAGTGGCTGGTGGGTTTGAACCATCAGCCTTCTGGTGAGCAGTCAAGTGCCTTAGGCACTATGCTACCAAGACCCCTAGACCTCTAAAATTGCCACCATAATCAACTTTTGAATCAATCCCTCCACCCTGTTCACATGACCCCCAATTCCAGAGTGACTTGTGCTTTACAACCTCTATATCTATGAAGCTCAAACTTTACTGATCACATGACTCTCTCACAAGAAACCTAAGAATCCCTCCAATATGCAGATATATTCATTTGGATATTATATACATGTATCATAAAACATACAAAAGATAGAATGTAAAACAATTAAATGTTGTTGGGTGCTGTCAGTCAATTTCAATTCGTAGCTACCTACACAAGTGCCATCCTGCACCATCCACACAATTGTTGCTGTGTTTGAGTCCACTGCTGCAGCCACTGTGACAATTCAGCTCATTAGGGGTCTTCCTCTTTTTCGCTGACCCTCTACTTTTCCAAGAATGATGTCTTTCCAGGCACTGGTCCCTCCTGATAACATGTCCACAGATGGTGAGATGAAGTCTCACCATCCTTGCCTCTAAGAAGCATTCCAGCTGTACTTCCTCCAGGACAGACGAAATTGTTCTTCTGCCAGTCCATATTCAATTCAATATTCATATTCAATATTCTTCACCAAGATTGTAATTCAAATGCATCAACTCTTCTTTGGTCTTTCTTATTTACAGTCCAGTCTTTATATGCATATGAGGTGATTGAAAATACCATGGCTTGAGTCAGGCACATCTTAGTCCTCAAGGTGATGTCTTTGCTTTTGAAGATTTTAAAGAGATCTTTTGCTCCAGATTGCCCAGTGCAATATGTTGTTTGATTTCTTGACTGCTGCTTCCATGGGCATTGATTGTGGATTCAAGTAAAATGAAATGCTTACCAGCTTGAATATTTTCTGCATTTATCATGATGTTGCTTACTGGTCCAGTTGTGAGGATTTTTGTTTCCTTTGTGTTGAGATGTAATCCATACTGAAGGCTGTATGTAGTCTTTGATCTTTGTCACTAAGTGCTTCAAATCTCCTTCACTTTCAGCAAGCAAGGTTGTGTCATCTGCATAGTGTAAGTTAATGAATCTTCCTCCAATCCTGATGCTACATTAGTCTTCATATAGACCAGCTTCTCAAATTATTTGCTCAGCATGCAGATTGAATAAATATGATGAAAGCATACAATCCTGAAACACACCTTTGCTTATTTTCAGCCATGCAGTAACCCTTTCATCTTTTCAAACACTGTACAGTTCATACATGAGCACAATGAAGTGTTCTGGAATTCCCATTCTTCACAATGTTTTCCATAATTTGCTATGATCCACATAGTCGGATGGTTTTGCATAGTCAATAAAACACAGGTAAACACCTTTCTGGTATTTTCTGCTTTCAGCCAAGATCCATCTGCTATCAGCAGTGATATCCCTTGGTCCATGTCCTCTTCTGAATCTGGCTTGAATTTCTGGTAACTCCCTATTGATGTGCTGTTGCAACTATTTTTTAAATCAGTTTCTGCATAATTTTACATGTATGTGATATTAATGATATTGTTTGATAATTTTCACATTCCATTGCATCACCTTTCTTTGGAATGGACACAAATATGGATCTCTTCCAGTCAGTTGACCAGGGAGCTGTCTTTATCTATGCCAAATTTCTTGGCATAGTTGGGTGAGCACTTCCAACGTTGCTTCTGTTTGTTGAAATATCTCATTTGGTATTCTGTTAATTCCAGGAACCTTGCTTTTCACCAATGCCTTCAATGCATTGTGGACTTCTCCTTTCAGTACCGTCAGTTCTTGATCATATTCCATCTCCTTATATGGTTGAACATTGACCAATTCTTTTTGGTACTGTGGATCTGAATATTCTTTTGATGCTTCCTGCATCGTTCAATATTTTGCCCATGGAATCTTTCAGTATTGCGACTCAAAACTTGAATTTTTTCTTCAGTTCTTTCAGCTTGAGAAATGCCAACTGTGCTCTTCTCTTTTGGCTTTCTAATACCAGGTCTTTGCACATTTAATTATAATACTTTCTTTTGTCTTCTTGAGCTGCCCTTTGAAATATTCTGTTCAGCTCTTTTACTTAGTCATTTCTTCCTTTTGCTTTAGCGCCTCTACATTCAAGAATAAGTGTCAGACTCTCTTTTGACATTCACTTTGGTCTTTTTAAAAAATTTTCTTTTCTGTCTTTTTAATGACCTTTTGCTTTCTTCGTTTATGATGTCCTTGATGTTATCCCACATCCTGTCTGGTCTTTGGTCATTAGCATTCAATGCATCAAATCTATTCTTGAGGTGGTCTCTATACTCAGGTAGGATATACCCAGAGTCATACTTTGGTTCTCATGGACTTATTTTGATTTTCTTCAGTTCAACTTGAACTTGCAACTAAGCAATTGCTAGTCTGTTCCATGGTCAGTGCTGGCCTTATTCTGACTGATGATATTGAGCTTCTCCATCATCTCTTTCCGCAGATGTTGTTGTTGTTGTTGTTATGTGCCGTCAAGTTGGCCCTGACTCCGATGTAGTCGATTTGATTCCTGTGTATTCCATCTGGTGAGGTCCACATATATAGTCACCATTTATGTTGTTGAAAAAAGGTGTTTGCAATGAGGAAGTCATTGGTCTTGCAAAATTCTGTCACGAGATCTATGACATTTTTTCTATCGCCAAGGCCGTATTTTCCAGCTACCGATCCTTATTCTTTGTTTCCAACTTTCTCATTCAAATCATTGGTAATTATCAATGCATCTTGATTGCATGTTTGGTCAATTTCAGACTGCAGAAGTTGGTAAAAATCTTTAATTTCTTCATCTTTTGCATTAGTGTTTGGTGTGTAAATTTGAAAATATTCATATTAACTAGTCATCTTTGTACAACAAGATAGATAAGCAAATAGCAGTCCTAAAATTTTACTCCCAAACCTCACAGAACCTCCTTGTGCACCCTACTTTGGAGACCACATTTAAGGAAAAAGGTTAAATGCTTTCTTTTATTGGAACAGGAATTCATACACTAGAGATTTCAAGATAGCATTAGGCTAAAAGTCCACTTTAGAGTTCTCGTTGTATATAAAGGAGCTCTGGTGGCATAGTAGATATGGCATTTGACTGCTAATCAGAACGTCAGCAGTTCAAACTCACCAGCCACTTCATGGAAGGAAGATGGGGCAATCTACTTCTGTAAAGATTTATAGCCTTGGAAACCCAGTGAGGGTTATTATGAGATGGAATCGGTTCAGTGGTATTGAGTTTGGTTTTTCGCTATTGTGTAGAAACACAACACTTGATGAACTGATTCTCTGATTCCAGTTCAGGTTCATAACCTGGCCAGCGCTCAGCTCCTCACAGAAGAGGTGTTGTTGGTAGACGCAGTGGGGTCCGTTCTGACTCCATGTGACAGAGTCAGAACATCCCCATAACAGATGGGGGTTGAAAATCCCTTTCCTAATGGTGAATTGAGAGCAACTCTCCTTCTGAATGCTGAAATGATCAGGGAGGGAGCGAAGCAAACCAATTTGTTCTGTGCAACAAACTCAAAATGTGGATCAGTTCCCTGAGCCCTCATTAAACTAATTAAACTGATCGGTATCACACTCCTACCCCAGGATGAACTGAAACAGAGTCAAATTGATGAGGTTAAGCACAACCATGTTCTTGAGCAGCTGAATCGGCCACCAGGAGTCGAAGCCATCTGGTGCAACATATGCATTGGGCATTGAGTAAGGGAATCCACAACCAATAGCTAGAGAGAGAAAAGGGCCCTTTTCAATCTCTGTGATGGTTCCTTCCCCTAATGTTTCAAAATAAAACCAGAAAGAGGAATGAAATGATTAAGTGCTTGAGGCCAAATGAGCTCCCTTGATTCAAATAACCCAGAAACAGAGGCAGGAGACTTCCTGATGCCTTGGTTCCAAGCAAAGTTTTCTCTTTCTCTCTCATCCCCAGGCACTGTGGTTTTTGGGTTTTTGGGTTTGGGAGGCTGAGCTGGGTAGGAGAGGAGATGGACTTGAGTTTGGATAATTTGTATAAAATGCTACTGAACACACATCTTCATGCACAGCCCCGGGTGTCTCACAATGTTTTGAAAAGTATAGATCGTTTTAGGGTTACTTTGTGTGCTTTTAAAAAATCCCATTTATTCAATTTATTTGGAATACGCTTAGTCTCAAATAGACCTGTGTCATTCCCTTTTCCACCAATACAATAAATAAAAGATGCTGAAAAAACTTGGGGTCTGTATGTGTGTGTTTGTGTGCATCCCCAGGGTATGAAAAGACCATTTGCAGAAGGGAATGCCAGAGAATGAAAATGTACACGTGCATATAATACATATATATACACACATGTGTGTGTCCATCACACAATCATGATATTCACACATACATGGGAATACAAATTTGGGTGATACAAATGGGTAATATGGTCAGCTGCTGACTGGAAGGTTAAAGGTTCAAGTCCACTCAGAGGGGCTTCAGAAGAAAGACTTGGCTTCTACTTCTGACAACTCAGCCATCGACCACCCTGTGGGACAAAGTTCTACTCTGACCCCACGGAGTTGCCATGAGATAGAATCAGCTTGACAACAATTAGTGGATTTTTGTGTGTGTGTATTATGTTGTTGTTGTGTTGTTGTTATGT